CTTTGGCTTTGAAATTATGTTCCTGATTCAACTCCTTCATGCCATTGATTGATGCAAGTCTTTTTCCTTGTGTAAGAGATATTCCATCAAGTTTATAGAGACTGAAAGCTGCCTAAACTGGATCAATATTCAGCCAATCCCTTGCAGCTTTATCTCACTTCTACTTCTCGTGGGGCATTGCGATAGGAAGGAATGCCCAGTATACTACTTGAGCCGAGTGATCACAGGTCCGGGGACAAGGTACTCAGTTGTGGAAGGGCACTGCCTCACATTAGTCTTTGTTACTCAGAAGTTGCGTCACTACTTCATGTCCTTCACAGTTCATATTGTGACAAGATGTGACCCAATCAAACACTTAATGTCTCGAGCTATACTATACTCATAGGGAGAGCTGCTCGGCGGTTCCTCACTCTAGCAGGCTATGACATGAAATGTGTAACTCCCAACGCAATGAAAAGTAAAGCCTTAGTTGATTTGCTTGCCCGTTTCCCGAGTGGAGAATATGAATATGCACCTCCATCAGAGCAGAACTCTCAGCTGCAGTATTGGAGGAAGCCAACAAATTGAAGAAAACTTGCCTCCAATGTCAATTCTACCCATGTCCAGCAGAATGTGCCTTAGAGCATTATATTATGAAGACTGGAGAAAGCCCTATATTGATTGTATTTCTTTTCTGGATCAAAAAATCCTCCCCTCTGAAACAAAAGATGTAGTTGGAATAAAGAAAAGGGCATTTCGCTTCTTTGCTAAGCAAGGAGAACTTTACAGGAAGGGCTATAATGGCCATCCTCTCCATCCGGATGTGCAGCAGGTTCTCGAGGAAGCCCACGCCCCAGGACATATTGGCGGCGCAAAGATATATGATCACCTGATGACCCTGGGGTACTATTGGCCAACTATGGAGATAGATTCAGCAACATTTGTTAAGAGGTGCAAGGTTTGTCAACTACATGGCAACCTCATACATGCTCCAGCCGTGGAACTCCCTACCCATTTAAAACTTGTGCCCTCGATTTCATCGGGAAAATAACCACTCCCTCGAGGGGAAAATGTTTCATTTTAGTAGCAACAGAGTTGTTCACCAAATGGGCAGAAGCAGTTTCACTACGCCGAGACAACTCTCCTTCAAGTTGAGCCAATGCACTTGTAGCTTTCTCGAGCGCTGCTGAAGTCTGGGCGTACTCCTCGAGATGATGGGTATCAAATCTTGCCTTGGCCACTGCACCCAGCCTGGCATGAACCCATCTCAGATCAAACCCAAAGCACCCCTCCATATCTCGAACGTCCTTCTGAATGTCTTCAAAGACATCAGCTGGTACCTCCCCCATTACATAAGCAAAAAGTTTGAAGATTCTTGGGAAAAGCATGTCTACCGCGTATCCTCGAAGTTCTCTTCTCTGGGGTTGGCAAAAGTTTAAGGGTAAGCTGTCCAGATGGATTCCATAAGGATGGACGTGGTGCGTTGAACACTAAGGCCTCTCCACTCGACGTAATCAGGATTTAGACTCAAACAAACCCAACTAAGCCCTGAGGACACCTTCTGCTCGGAGGGCACAATCCAGCATTTCTTACAAAGTCTTACAACGGATGTGAGCTTAACAACCCTCGTGCCATGCCCAAGCCCTTACCTTCGCCCTATACCGAAAGATATTAGTTCATTGATCAACTACCACTTGATCCCCTAGGTAAAGGAATTTCTCTAAGGTGCCAAAGAGTCCCCTCCTAATAAGTAGGGCTTTGCTGGTCTTGCAAGCATTCGTCTACGTTTGCTCGCAAAACTGCTAAGGTTAAGATAGCCAATCCCGTTTTGTTTCGGCAGAAACGAAGAAATTTCGAACAGTGTATTATAGTCGACGGGCCTCTAGCGACGATCGGACCCAGATAATCAATGTATTCATCGTGCCCCCCCTGGTTCGGTGAAAGAATTTAGATTTCCCGATGAGGTAGCCTGCTGGGACTTTGCTATAAAAGGGATTAGCGGCTTAATGCATGGATTTGAGCTGTGAAAGGCCTTGTAAGTGCCTTGCTCATGCCTTCCCGCCTTACTATGTCAAAGAGCAAAAAATGCACTCAATGAAGGCCACGATCGATAGTAGGGGTTTCTCTCTCAATTAACAAGCCCAGGGATCACAGACGAGATCTAACCTAGTGGTTTCGCTTTAATTCATTAACTATACGAAGATCTTATTTCTTACCTACTAGATCGATTGAAAGAAGCCTTCGGGTTACAGTCAACTCATAAAATACTCTCCTAAGGAGATATTCTTTCTATCCATAAACAGAAAGGGGGAGAGATTCCTGCTTGCCTACTTCGCGGATCGAAGGGAGAAGACCTATTCAAAAAAAAAACAGACAAGAGAAGAGATCAAGATGACTACCAAATTCATACCAGAATCCTTGATTGTACTAGCTTAAAATCAAGACCACAATGAGAGACATTCGATCCCAGAATTAGCTCTATCCCACCTCCAATGAGATGTTTTAAGCATATGGGTTAGTGGCAGTTGAATGAAACTAGAAAGAGTGGCAGTTAGATCCTTGAAGGGAAAGGACTTGGCTTCATCTCCCACACCGGTTAGCAACCGAGATAAGAGTGAAACTAAAGCGGGAAGGAGATGAGGATCCGGATTCTATATTCCATTTTTTTCTTTTTAGTTTGAGTGAACACCCGGTAGCCAATCGATCAGGACTAGGAGCTGCACCAAGACGGATTAGTTCGCCTTCGGGTTCTTAAGAAGAAAAAGAAGATCCCGGAGTTCTCTTTCTAGGTTGAGGAGATTGCTTTTACTTTCTTGTTAAACCTACCCGAAAGAGAGTGAGTGGTGGATTCAGAGAAAAGCTATTCTTCTTAGCAGTTTCACAAGTGAATGGAATGATTCTTCCCCCGAGGGTGACTTCACTACCTGGATCCTCATCTCTTGAACTCGTTCTGGCAGCTAGTTTAATGGCACCGGCATCTCATCTAGTCTAGATCGATTCCCTAAGAGCTTCTTCTCTAGCAGGCGATTTGGCCCATTTTATCTTTCCTGGTAATAAGGAAAGGCCTTTCCCTATCACGACCGCCTTCCTTTATTCGGAATTCATTCGTCTCAAAAGAAAGAGCTAGCGAACCACACCAATTCCATTCCAATTATCTCTGACAGAGCAGGATAGCTGCCATCAACCCTTTAGAGCGAGGGCCCTCCGAGACCAATGCAGAAGGAATAAGAGCCTTTATGCCTTGAGCCTTGAGCGAAATCATTGACCTTGCGCCTGGTTTGATTAGGACATTGCCGCATTTCATCTCAAAGAGGATCTAACTCTTTCTTTCCGGCTTAGCCGAACTACTTGGCTCGGATCAATTCACTCTTTCTTTATCGCAAGCAAATAGCCAAAGAGCTGATGAAAGAGCACCGTCTTCTCTTATTCCTGAAAACATCTTCAGAGCAGTTATTACAAAAAGACTAGCATCTCTAACAGGAAAAGCAAGCAAAGACCTCCCCTTTGGTTTGGTGGCCTCCTTCCTTGATAAGAGTGAAAGCAGAATCAGAATCAGACTCTTGGACGTGGGATCTTGCCTAAATAAATTTCCATTGAGCGGGGTAAGTCTAAAAAAGCATTTCACCGGCACTCAGCCCTTCCCCCCTTACTCCAAGAGCCGAAACAGCCTCTATTCCTTCAACAGCAGTTAGGCCTTTTTCTAATCCTACAGCCCTTCTCCCAAGAGTTTCAGAAAAGGCTACCGACTTGGCCTACTTTGACTACGCTATTCTTCTCATTTCGAAAGAAGAAGAAGTAGCCCCGCCGACGACAACAGATTCAATAGCTGGGGATCTTGCTAAGAATGAAACTCCTAACCTTAAATCATAGAACCGGGGATGATTTCCAAGAATCCGAAGTTGGAACGGGGAAAAAAAATCCCCAGTGGGTAGGGAAGCTGCCCATCCGTTATAGTTGCTTCAGAAAGATAAATTGGAAGGTTGGGCGATCTCCTATCCTGTCCGGTCGTTGTGGCAAGCGAATCTATTGAGAGATATATTGAGCCGGTAAGCGGGATTGACTTGCCGAATAGTGATATGATGTCACGAAAAACGGCTGCTCATTTCGTATCTTGAAGAAAGTCAAGCAGGAATAGATGGCCTGCCCCTAGCTCTAACTAATATCTCTACTTTGATAGCACAGGATGCTTTCATTCCCTGCCACCCGCTTCTATAACTGGCTATTCCTTTCGGCATTTCAAGACAAAATCTTTCATGATCCATCCCGGAATTGGATATAGAATAGTTGGGATGGATATTCAACAGGGAGGGAACAGAAGGGGATGACATCAGAAGTAGGATCGTCGAACGGTCTTCTGGCTCCGTGGCTCCTGACCTTGAAGATGGATTCCGAGACCTGGACCCTTTTTTCATAACTTCCGCTCGTTGCATACCTTGCTCCACTACTGTACAGCATTTCCCGCTGCAGTTTGAGCAGCAAATGGTGTCCCTCTTCTTGTACCCCCTCTTCCACAAGTACCGGCGGAGGCCCAATAAACCACCCGACCCCTTACATCTGTAACAGTCACAATGGTATTGTTGAAGCTTGCTTGAACATGAATAAGTCCTTTTGGTATTCTACGTGCACTCTTGCGTGAACCAAGACGTCCATTCTTACGTGAACCAGTTTCTTTTTTTTCTTTCATTCCGGGGAAAACCTCCTTGAAGTCTCAACTAATGGGGGAGGAGTGAGATTATACAACCCGCCCTTTCTCTTTTTTTCACAAATAGTCAATTTAGGATCTAATTCGCAGAAGGATTACCATATATAACACAAAATTGATCCGCCGATTCCTTCG